TATGTTTAATTTATTATATATACAAAAATTGCTTGTCCCATTTGAAGAAATTGACTTTCAGACTTGAGTTTTAAAAAACTACTGTGCTATATTTAAGACCAATTTACTGTTTTGAATATATTATGATCAATTTTTATTCTTAAATCATCAAAGTACAGTAAAATTTGAAAAATATTTCTCAACTTCAGTGGGGGACTTTTCAAAGAGAGAGTAAATTTTGTTCTGTCTCTTGCATATATTTTCAGCAAGTTTACCTTTTACAGCCAATTCTAGCCACTATATACTGGAATTTCTTTTGCCTGAGAGCTATAAACTTTAATAGAGTCTCCAATACAGAGCTCATATGATGACCAAGTAGGCCAAGGTGAGACGCAGGAAAGCTAGACAGCCTAAATACAAAAAGACACCCGAGCTGTTCTCACTATGCCTTTTTTTTTTTTTATTTTTTTATTTTTTATAAACTGGCAGCCAGAGGCAAAAGGAGAGAATGTTTAGAATTAAATTTTAGCAAAAACATGACATGACATGATACAATTCATTGATAGCAGTGGTTTGGGAACGCTTCAATCTGCAGGTCCTCCCGCAAGCTCCGTAGCAGACATTCATTTCATTTTGGAACTAACTGTGTATAACTTCAGGCTAAGAGATGAATCCGTAGAGTTCCTCCGTACTGAAAAATGCATTTACAGTGAGTCATGTGAGAGAGGAGAGTGACTACTAAGGATTTTGAGCTTATGTGATCGCTTGCTTCAGATGTAGAATGCAGTGTGGCTGGGAAAGGTGCAGCGGGGCTGGTTTGGTTTGATTTTATTGGCATTATGCAAATTTGACTATCTTCAGCATTCCATATGCTGAAAGCTTATTCTTACACATTTCAAATAAGACCTGCTTCTAAAACAATGGTACTCCTGAGCAAAAGCATAGGGCTTTTATGACAAGAATTAATATTTTAAAAATTACTTCCAGAAAATTTCTGAAATATAAAAAATGATAGAAATTTCCTTCTCTTATTTTTCCATTCTGGGTTCTGAGCCTGAGCCTTGCGCATGTTGGAAATCTGTTCTATCAGTGAGGGTTGCCTCATTTACCTCATCCCCGGCAGCATTTCTACATGTAGGTTAGGGTATGCAAATGTGCGTGCAAATGTAAGACACACTCAGATTTTCTCAATTCATCTGAACTACAAGTGTGTCATACTTGTGTCATTATTTGTGACTCATATGAAAAAACAAACCTTTGGAAATCAATTTAGTATGGATTAACACACTAATTTTGGTTCCTTTTTCAGTTCTGTTAACTATATTTTTGTAAAATGATAAACACCCACTTGGCAAACACTCTGAAAAAATAATTCTTCAGAGCTGAATAAGTAAATGAAATCAGAAAGAGCAATTTATGGGAAGTGATTCTGACAAAAGCCAGACTGAATTTTATTGAAGAATAAATTAAATTTAAAGAACATGGACTTTGCCCTAGAATTAGAATATATTATATAGTTTTCTTTTTAATTGATTTCTACTAAAAAATTACCGGCATAAACGTGAACAACACAGCACACTTCCTATATTTATTACTCAGCTTCAACAACTAAAACCAAATTTCCTTTCTTGTTTTTTCCAACTCCCTTCCTTCTATCCTGTTTTTATCTC